CAAATAACAAAGAGGTAAAATAAACGCGATGCTCAGTATTCCAAGTTAATCCGTCTGGTTGGCGTCTGGAGATCCAAGCTTTGTTTTATTTGTCACCTGCAAAGAGTTTAGAATTAAAAATAACGACAGTGACATTTTGTTCTGAAATAAAAGAAAGCAGTTTTCCGCAATATATATTTTCTCCGAATATTCCAAACGTTAAGAATATTTTAATTTCTACTTGTTGGTTTTCCCTTTTTTCGATTGATGAAGATTCCTCGCACTGGAAGTTTTAATCTGTTAATAGATTTGACATCTTTTTGGCATTTTTTGACGTGTTCCGTTAGATTTGACCAATGAAAATCAAAGGCGTCTGGCACTAGGGTCGACGTGTTAAAATTAACAGTTATCTCATGCATTGCAAGAAGTCACGAAGCAACAAGAAACTAGAGTTGTTCTCGTTGCCCTTTGATCAAAGCCCGTGCTTCTTTCATTTTCGTGCTCTCCAAAATCTTAACTCGATTGTAAAAACGTATCTAAAAGGATGAATCAAGTGTTGAATTTTGTAACATCTCGTTTGGAAATGTAAAAAAGAATCAGGGGAAAACTATGTTTAGTAAGGTTTAATTAAGCGAAACGTGATGGTTGCCATGCCAGGTGTTTCATTGCGTTTATCACTCAGGGTTGGTAATTTGGTAATCTTCTCATGCCCACGCCTCTGATGCGTCATCGGATTATGACGCACACTGTTCGTGCTTGTACTGAATTGGGTTGCTATTTNCAAATAACAAAGAGGTAAAATAAACGCGATGCTCAGTATTCCAAGTTAATCCGTCTGGTTGGCGTCTGGATATCCATGCTTTGTTTCATTTGTCACCTGCAAAGAGTTTGGAATTAAAAATAACGACAATGACATTTTGTTCTGAAATAACAGAAAACAGTTTTCCGCAATATATATTTTATCCGAATATTCCAAACGTTAAGAATATTTTAATTTCTACTTGTTGGTTTTCCCTTTTTTCGATTGATGAAGATTCCTCGCACTAGAAGTTTTAATCCGTTAATAGATTTGACATCTTTTTGGCATTTTTTTGACGTGTTCCGTTAGATTTGACCAATGAAAATCAAAGGCGTCTGGCACTAGGTCGACGTGTTAAAATTAACAGGTGACTCATGCATTGCAAGAAGCCACGAAGCAACAAGAAACTATAGTTGTTCTCGTCGCCCTTTGATCAACGCCCGTGCTTCTTCCATTTTCGTGCTCTCCAAAATCTTAATTCGATTGTAAAAACGCATCTAAAAGGATGAATCAAGTGTTGAATTTTGTAACATTTCGTTTGGAAATGTAAAAAGGAATCAGGGGAAAACTATGTTTAGTAAGGTTTAATTAAGCGAAACGTGATGGTTGCCATGCCAGGTGTTTCATTGCGTTTAGCACTCAGGGTTGGTAATTTGGTAATCTTCTCATGCCCACGCCTCTGATGCGTCATCGGATTATGACGCAC